ACCCTGAAGGTCCCGCTCGCCAGACTTTGGTGGCCAGAGGCATGGATCCCAAGCCAGGATATCTATACACTTTAGAGGTACAAAATCTGATTTTCAATTTTTTTGAGAACAAAATCAACTCTAAGATAATGAAAAAAAAAAAAAGGGAAAAGTTTGAAAAAAATTAAAAAGAATATTTTATTATACATGGAAAATTTAACTGACTGAAATATTAATCTATATAAATTATTTAGAATTATTTTAAATTCTATTTGCGCCAAAACGACTCGTCGCTTTTTAGGTGAGATTGTCGGTAGCAAATGTCACCAGACCGGACATTTACCGATTACCAATTGGCATTAGAACACTGGCGTGGACCAACACGAGTCTCCTGTTGAATGATCGACCAGTATATATGCGTGGTTTCGGCAGACACGAGGACTCGATTATCAGAGGACGCGGTTTTGATCTCGTTACTGCTGTCAGAGATCACGAACTGCTTCAATGGGTCGGTGCTAATGCCTACAGAACCAGTCACTATCCTTACAGCGATGAGGTCCTCGACATGGCCGACAGGTACCGGAACAATTTTTCTGACGCCAGAACAATTATTTATTATTTAACTTCCGCTTTTCTTATATATGTATTTCGCTCTGTTATGTTTTATTCTACTTTGTTAAATTTTGTTTGACTGAATTTTGTTGAAGACTGGGTTTCCTCGTGATCGACGAGTGTCCTTCCGTCGACACGGAAAACTTTTCGCCGTCATTACTCTCGCGCCATAAGGACTCGTTATCGGAGCTCATTCGCAGGGACAAAAATCGACCCTCCGTGATCATGTGGTCCTTAGCCAACGAACCGAGGACCCAATTGCCCCAGGCTGAGGAGTACTTCAAGCAGATCGCCCATCACACCAAAGCGATCGATCCCACTAGGCCAGTCACCATCGCTATGGCTCGTGGAGTGCAGGTGACGTTGCTCATAAATAAATGTATTAAAAATAATATATACAAATTAAAAATAAATGATTCTAATTTGCATTTCACAAAAAGTATGAAATTTTCGACTCAATATTCTCTGAAAAAAGAGAGAAAAAGAGAGAGTTTTTTCAAATCTTTCATAATTAAATCTGAAATTGAATTGAAATTGTATTTTAATAAAGTGAAAGTTATATTTTAATACAATTTCAATTTAATGTTTAATTGATTGTAATTCTTAATTTGCAAAAGCTTTTCAGTTTTTATCGAATCATTTGTAATATGAAAGTTGCTGATAGACTTGTAAATTTTAGGAAGACAGAGTCGGTCAGTTTCTCGACGTGATCAGCTTCAATCGTTATAACGCCTGGTACAGCAATCCTGGTAGAATGGATATGATTATTGACAGGGTTCAAGGGGAAGCCGAAGCCTGGCATAGAAGATATAACAAGCCGGTACTTATATCCGAATATGGGGCCGATACTATGCCCGGACTCCACGAGGTAAAACTCAATATAATTGCGAAAGTTATCTTTTTATATACATTGTGTTTTTATCGTGTTATAAAAATAAAAAGTAAAAAATAGAAATAAACTCCAGAAATAATATATAGAATGAAGAATATAAAGAAAATCTGTAAATATGAAATAATTATAACAAAAGAATGGGTGTAAAGAATAACAAAATGAAAAAAAGAATAAAAATGAAAAAAACAATTAAAATCCACTACGTTCAACTACGTAAACTTTTATCTTATTATAGCAATGCAATTATTTAATTTAGAATGTTTAAATCAATTCTCTATATTATTTTTTTCTTATAAACTATTTGCAGCTACCAGAATACATATGGAGTGAGGAATACCAGAAGGAATTATTTTCCAAACATTTCGTAGCTTTCGATCGATTGCGACGCGAAGGCTTCTTTATTGGCGAATTCATCTGGAACTTCGCCGATTTCCGCACTGCGCAAAGTAAGTATTAAATACAATCGTATTCATTCATTATTATATTTCTTCCTCCTTAACAATTTAATGTTGCAAAAATTTGCTCTGTCATGAATCGATCTCACAATAAAACTCGTACATCCTTTTTATTATTTCTATGTATAATTATAATCGAAAAAACTAATTTATTTCTAATCGATCAAATCAATAACTTTAATTTACAAGAATAATTTTCTTAATTTAAGAGAGATATTACTCAAATAAATTACTCAATTAGATTTCAAATAATTGACAAAAAAAGATTTCTCAATAAATAAATATTTGCTAATATTTGTGCATTGCAGCGTTTATCAGAGTGGGTGGTAATAAAAAAGGAATTTTCACGAGAGATAGACAGCCGAAAATGGCAGCTCATCATGTTAGGAGGAGATACCATGCTCTTGCAGCCGAATTAGACGGTGCACAGATACCGGAAGACGTTGAGAATTACATTTCGGCCTATCATTCCCAACACTGGGAACTTTGACCGAAAAAAGAAAGAGGAGAGATTAGAATGCGAAAATTGCTTAACAAAAAGTCTTAATTCTTGACAATAAGAAATTACATCCTGTTCGTTTTGTACCTCGATATGTAAAAGTTGCACCGATAACTTAACATAGAATTATTCACCTAATGTACGCATATTCTCTCATAAAATCATTTATCCCACAAAACATACAACTCCTTCATTTATTCATTTAAGACTCGTTCACATGGAAAAAAAAATGTTGTATAATATCTTCGCATTATTCGGTAATTTGTGAATTTTTATATTCCGTGTATTCTTACAATATACATATTTTAAATATAAAAAAAAACAGACTTATTCCTGCCTCGACATTTTTATAGTTTGCTGAATACATTTATAAATTATACTAAATAAGTATTACATTTTTCTTTAACATCACAGCCTTATTATACGCAACAATAATATAAGCTTAGAAATTATTTATTAGTATGGCTTGGCCTCGTCTGGTGGTTCTACAATCTTTAGACAGGCATCGGCCATTTCCGTGAAAATGGGTTCTTTCATAGCTAATGCTATCGCTTCAGTAGGATTTGAACTATTCAAAATTCCCCTCATGATGTCACGCAATTGAGGATATTGAAGGCATTCTTTAAGTTCCTTGCTGTGACGCAATTGCTGCAACTTCTCTATAGGCACTGTATCTTCCGTTGGAAATTCATACTTCTGTGTACTGACATTTTTATTTTCTTTGGACTCTTCAAGTAATATTGGAGATTCACAAGGTTGAGTTTTATGCTCTTTGCAACATTCTATGGAACAACTGAAACAAACGTTGACTTAATTAGATATACATAAAAGATATGCACTATTGATTGAATTAACTTGAAATATAATAATCACATTGTTTGTTAAAGTATGAAAACTGAAGCATAACAATTTTTTCTTAAACATATGAAATTCATGCAAAATATTTTGTGTTATTTGTAGAAAGCATAACCTCTAAAAGATACAATCAACAATTATACTTACTAAGGTTTCTTGCATTTCGGACATTTATAAGCAGCATCTTTCTTCTCGCAAACGCAACAACATTTAATTGGCATGATTTAATTAGTTTGATAAGTAGATTGTTTGATTCACAAAAATGTCAAAATGCAAGCACGTGTCACGAGAGCATTTACACGATCACGTGATCCGCGAGCATTTTCACGCATAGGGCGTCATCTGCAAATCAATGAAGGAAATAAATTTAAAGTTCTGCACGTGTAATTTCTATTTTTAATCAAGAATGGTTTATATTATTAATTACGATATTTCAAAGACAGAAGTTTTAATAAGCGACGTATCTCGCAAACATTTTTTTACATCTAAAAATATATATGAAATTGATGTTACATATTTTTTATATATATCCTTCTTTTTTAAAAAATAGATCATTATACAAAAGGAGTTAAAAGGAGTCTTAAAAAATTTTTGATTAATTTTATTAATCAAAAATCAGTTATTTGCTAATCAAGAATTATTATTGAATTAAATTTATTTTAAAAATTTTGTTTGCTTCAAAATAGAATTAATTCAATAATAAGAAAACGATTTTTGCAAACAAAAAAATAATCAGCTAAAAAAATTGTGTCTTGAGTATTTTTTAAAATACTTGAGAGAGTTTTGAGAATTTAATTTTTTTTGAAGTTCAATTACTTTTTGCTTAATCTTCAATTATTACTTAAACAATTTTGTTCTATATTTTCATTTCCCCGTTACTCGTCATCGTTATAATGCGCTTCAGTTTGACAAGAAACTTTCCATGGGAGTTTAATGAATTTCGAATAGTCCGGAAATGTTTATCAGACAATCTCCGAAAATCGGGCAACTTTCGCGTAATTGAAATCAGTGGCGTTAGAAAAGTAACGTCCGGAATTCGCGTTCGTATAAGCATCGCAGGGAGAGAAATTACGGAACAGGACGATGTCGATTTTGAGGAGGAGAAGGAGAAGGAAGAGGAGGAACAGGAGGAGGAGGAGGCGGAACTGGCCTGGATCTCTAAACGCGATCTCGTGGCGGATAGCGATGGAAATTTCGCATTCTTGCGGCGCGAGAGTACGTACGTACGTCACGCGCGTGCCGGACACGGTGCGTCAATCGAACACGCGCGATTCCGACGTGATTTCATTTCACGTCACGCGAGAATCGAATCTCGCCTTACCGATTTTATCGGAGCGCGAGAAACGGATCCCGTTTCGGCGTAAACGCGATTCGAATTTTTGTCCTCGACCGAGCGAAATTTTCTTCTTGAACGACGACGGGAAATGCCATTTCGCTTCGCAACGCGATTCCCGTTTTAACGCGAATAAAACACCTAGAAGATTTGCTTTATTTCTGCATAATCTGAATATTTTCAAATTGATATGTTAATATCGCATATACAATTTTATAATTTATATATATAATCTCTTGTGCGATAATATGCGTTGTTCATTTTTAAGTCGCATTAAGTGTAAAGTCGTAACTTTAAAAAAATAATATATAAAATAATCTATAAGTATATAATAAAATGTCTATTATTTACAATATTTAAGTATAAAATAATATTTTTAATTATGTTATATTTAATTATTTATACGGCATATATATCCGGTCCAAGTACAACACCAACGTTTCCAACTTATCAATATAATTTTGAACATTTCGATTAATATAAACATCCTTAAAAAGTTGCTTCAATAAACACAATTGTTTTCAACAAACAATAGCGTTAATCGTGATTGCTATTCTGGAATTTCAGAATAATTCTACAGAACGATTAATCTAAGAAACATCAAATAAAAATTTTCTTCTGAAATGCAGAGTCTTCGTGAGCTTCACACCTGATTAAATAAGTCTCAAAAAGAAACTTATTTATTTAACATGGCACCTTAGAAAAAAACTTGTAAATTTATGTTAAATTATGTCCAGTGTGTAAAGTTCAATTAAGTTGAAGCAGAATTTATTTTGAACTGTGTTGAAGGCAAATTTGGTTTCCTGTAATGTCTGTAAATTATCAAAGTTTCTCATATCAAAGTTTCTAAAGAATTCACGAAGAGGCTCGAAGTATTAACAACAAGTATTGACAAAAGACTAAAATCGACGAGGTCGTCGTCGTTGAAAGCTCTGAAACTTTCCTCCCGAGGTTGGTGGCCATGAGTAGAGCTCGCGCGCCCAAGGTCATTGATTCCACGGACAGTTCCGGCTCGGTTTCTGGGCCAGGTTAACCGACGGTCCCGCGACGGCGACGTCCGGAATACCTTCGCTCGCCGTGACGTCGGCTCGGCCTGATACGGTAGACCGGTAACGAGCCGGTGTAACTCAACAACGGATTTAAATCAGAAGCACAGACGCAAGTTCAAGGTCTCCTCTAATCAACTTGGCGAACGAAATAGTTATTGACATTATTTGAAAGAAATTAATTAATATAATTTCTATGAAGAATGCTCGCTTTATTTCGTGGATGCGATCGACATTCCGAGTGAGAGTGACCTCTCGGAATTTTTAAGCGAGTCAAACTGTAAATTAATTATTAAATCGCTATAGTTAAACTTAAGCGGCTTGTAAACGATTCCCCGACTCGTAGTTCGTTTAGCTAATGTATAAATTATGTGGTCTTGCCATTGGAGTCTTACTCGCGAACATTCTGCCGCGTAAAATCCGAGTCGGCCGTTCATTCACTGAGGCCTCGTTCCAGGGGGGGCATTGACGCGGCGCGGCACGTGTTCCACGCGAATATAATCCTTTGGGATCTCGAAGAGATTCTAAAATAATTTCCGCGCGAAAGTCCGAAACAACATCGCGCACGAGAATCTCAGGTGCCGATCTCGAAACTCAGATAAACAAACGGTACGGTAGATCAACGGAGCTTCAACAGATTAATTCTTATCACCGAAGAAAAGAACCGAATAATTTTTGTGGGTTTGTAATTGTACTACTTTGTAATCAACTTTGACATATATTCTCTTTGAGAGATTGTCCTCTTGCCTATTCTGTTCTTTTAGTCGAGGATTTCTGTGAATTAACTGTTAATTAATAAAGTTAGCTTTCACCATGAAGGTGATTGACCGTGTTTGATGAGCAACCGACGACGACGACTCGACACTGTTAATTGACTGCATAAATCGCAATACGAATGATAAAAGCGAGCTCGTGCCCGAAGATGGCATGCGGGTTTACCTTGAGGAGGTCGCGGTGCGTCAACCTCATCCTCTTCCTCTTCTTTCCATCTGTGACGACAAGAGAATGCGATGACCCAGCGCCAGGAAATCCTCCTCCAGGTGGTCGTGCCGAATCGCGATTGTACGTGTCTCAGATTTCAGATTACTTCGTGCACGGTATAAAAGCTTGACGATTATATAATAAAATAGCATATAATTAATATAATCAAATTTTTATTACAAATAGAAATTTATCATTCGCGATTATCTTCAATACGGCTAAAAATTATTTCGGTTTTCAATATACTTAAATTAACGAAATAATGATTTCCTACTAAAGTCGATAAAACTTTTAGATAACAGACTGTAGATAAAGATAACTTGCAAGAATTTCGGAGCTACACAAAATGATTTCTGTTAATACATCCCTCCTTTCTTTGCTGGGATGAAAAATTTAAAAAAAGCTCTACGTAAAGAAGACATGTATATAATTACGTCTGACGGAAGCTCGAGAACGGAACTCCTCGAGATGACTCGCACACTTGAGGAGATCTCATCTCAGAGCGATCGCGGATACGATGACAGCATCCGGCGATGACGTCATATGGCGGAGTAGCGGCGGCGGCAGCGGCGGCGGCGACGGCGACGGCGGCGGTGGCAGGGGCGGTGGTGGCGGCGGCGGCGACAGTCGCGATGATCGCGTACGATGACGTCGGCGATGATCGCGGATCGGCGGCAGCAGTAAGTAACAGCAGCAGCAGGAGGAGGAAAGAGCTGGAGCCCCGAGCCGAGCCGGCAGGAATCGACGGTGCACCGTTTCGTCGCGGGGCCAGTTCCTTCCAGATCGCCGTGTCGTCGACTTCTTTTGGATTCGCGGATTCCAAAGTCGCTCTCGCGATTCCGAAACGTCGGTCGTCGATCCGCGACCGCCGCGACCGGACACGCGGTCGGCACATGACAGTGACCCACTTACCGGTTCCGGTATGCCGCGTTACGGTCCGCGATACAGTAATCCCCGTCGGGGGCCGACGTTGATAAACCAAACGAACTCGTACGGAGTGATAAAACCAAGTAGTAAACGTTATTAAACGTAATAGGAATTGAGCGTTAACGCTAAGAGAGCGCGATATCGATTTTCCACAGCCATTCGCGGTACACCGCGCTCGCGATGCTTCGTTTAACGCTGATTTCTTAAACGATCCTTCGATCGAATGCGATTTTAAATAATGAGTGAAATAATTATCGAAAACTATATATATAAAAGTGAATAAATAAAAATTGTACTTGTATCGTTAATGACAAGGAGGAGTTTAAATTGAGGAAAACAAAGTCGAAATTCGACGGCTGTGTTTTTTCCTTTTTTTTTAAATGCAACTGATTTGTTGAAGCACAATTACAATTTCAATATTGGATAAAGGATATTGGTTAAAGGGTATTGGTATTTTACAAATTGATACATGTTTAATTCAAAACGTAGTTATATTAACTTACAATTTTAACAAATTGTTTACTTAAAGCCTTAAACGCTGCTGCTTTATTTATTTATTCAATATGGCATTTAATATTAATTGCAATAAAAAATAATTTAACATTAATTGCAATAAAAATAATTTAAATTTGACGCGTGGATTTTTATTATTATATAAGGATTATTATTCTGCATTGTATTTCGTTACTTCTGGTTCAGGACTGTATTCAACATAAATCATGTTGTTATCATCGCAGTATTATCATAAAATAGTCGCGTCTAACCGATCGCGAGATTGCGCGACGATGATTCAATTCCAGACGATAATTAATTTAACATTAGTGATACATGAAAACCTCGAGTTAGACAACACGTTCGATCGGTCGGAATGAGTCTGCGCTAATGTCGAGTAAATACGAGAGTTGGGTGAACGCCATAAATGTAGCACACATAAGCGCGAGCATTCTTCCTATACGAGGAAAACACGTGGGTTTTTACTGTGACGTGCGCGAAAACAATTAACATCTTGATCGGTGTTAACGAACGGGTTTGCGTTAGACAGGACCTTTTTCTGACTGACTAGTCGCACGCACGGTCGCAGAGATCTGAAATTCATTTAAAATGAAATATCGCGAACACAAAAATATCTGCAAGAACTACGAGAAATAATATTGTATGTGATTTGAATATTGTTAATAATAATAGTTAATAGTTCATACAGAATATCTTCCGTAAGAGAAAGGTAAATAAAAAAAAAAACAATCTATGTCTTTATCTCTATAAATTAATTTGTAAAACGTAAGAAAACGGCATAAAATGAAGAAATATAAATAACAAAATATGGAAAAGGAAAGGGAGAAGAAATTAACGAAGGTTACAGTTTTAAAACCATACACTTTCAACACGAATTATTGTAACAAGAACTATAATTATAAATAATTTTATATTTCATTAATTATCAATACATAGGAAGGATCAATACATAGGAATTATATAATAGTTACAATAAAATTATACATATAAATAATTTTTTGTTATTATATTTATTATATACGTTAGTAATTCTTGTCGTAATATTACATTATCAGAGAGCAAATCATGTCTGATAATAAGGAAGATTCCATTGGCACTATGTGCCCCAGGCGAAGGAACTTTGTAGAATTCAGGAAGGCGGTAATTTAGTCGCGCATTATAGTCGCCACTTGCCAGATTTGGCGAAGAACACTTGTTCCAATATCCGAGATCCTATACGGTTCGCGTCGTTTTTTATTTCTTTTCTTTTCCTTTTCTTATCGTCGAGTTGAGGCGAGCATGCAAATTTTTTGGCGAACGCTCGCGGCACTGGCGATCACGTAAAGAGTACGTGTTAATCCTTTCGAACCTGTTTATTTTTCATATCATCCATTAGGAATACTTCTCAAGTGAAAAAAAAGGTAATTTTTATCGCTTTATCGCGTGTTTCGTTCTAATAGAACTAATCATCACTAGACGCGATAAAGATACAATTTTTAAGGAGTTTCGTCACTACTCGGGAAAATTGCTTCATTTATATATTTTTTTATGTCTTTTGTGTACTTTTTGTCGTAGAAATAGAAAATTATCATTGTAATAACGTTGTACTTAAGGAAAAATTGTTGAAACTAATTATTGAAATAAAGTTAAGAATTCTTAATCATATCGTTATGAAATCATCATTAATTATTTCAATAATTTCAAAATTAATTAAGTACATATGTATATACATATACACACACACATATATATATATATATATATATATATATATATATAATAATAATAATATATATATATATAT